ATAAGCTCTCAAATGACTAGAAGTCTAGTATTTAAAAATGTCATACATACTATGATTCATATTCATTGGTATAGGGGGTTTTTAGAGTTGTCATAGTTAAACTACAAATGAACCTTAGCCAAACCACCATTGAAAACATGGGGGGCGCTGGACAGCCGTTCGGGGCCCCTCAGTAGTGTGTCTATGGCTCCATTAAAAAGGGTCAAAGCCAGGAGTTTCGGTCTCAACCGTTTCGAATATTAGAGGCATTTATCCACTGAAGGTAATTGAAGATGATTCACACTTAGAAGATAACGAATTTCGAGACATAACAGTTGTAGGTCAAATAACATGGTCCTCCTTCGCCCGTTTCCAGGAGACTTTGAAAAGTTTCTGTCCAGCACCAACTTCCAGTAGTTATCCTCGATGGGATACTTAGCATCCTCTTGCAATTCAAATCTACATTCAGATTGATAATATTGCAATCAACTACTTCTGCGACGGACTTACACAAAACACCATCTTTTGAAGCACCTATCTGGATTTGGACTATATTCTATTTATTATTTATTTATTTGAACACATAAATATTGGTACAGGGGGGCACCAAATATATATGCGCCACACAAAACAGTGATAATTAGAAGAGAAGGAGAAAAGAGAAGAAAAAAAAAAGTAATGAACGTGGGGAATTATAAAAAAAAGAAGAGAGAGAGAGAGAACAATGGTGGGGGAAACGGAAAGGTACAATCAGAACAGATCTTTCAGTTAAGGAAGAATACGACCACCTTTTTATGAAGAAAGTAAAAGAAGGTTACAGCAGGATCGCCACTGGCTTCTATTCTGAGCCATATCTGATAACGTCTCTAGCCACTGCGTTACACCATCTCTCGGACCCCAACCAGGGAGTCGTGAAGGACCAACAGAAGCTAGCCCTTTGCAGCTTTCTTTCATACCACGACACCATGTCATATACTGACCACCTCTCCGCTTTTTCCAACCAGTCCCAGAGTCGGCAAATAATGCACGGCGAGGAATTCTCTGGGACGACATTCGTAGAACATGTCCAAGCCACCGAAGTCGGTGTTTCAAGATGGTGACACCAATTTCATTATCGTCTCTGTGACCGAACACTCGATGCCGAACCTCTGCATTACTGACATGGTGTTGCCACTGGATGCCAGCAATCCTTCGGAGACAACGATGATCGAACACAGAGAGTCGTCTAACATCCTCAACTCGGAGAGGCCAGGTTTCACAAGCATAGAGCAAAACTGCTCTCACCGTCGCGTTGTAGATCCGACCTTTTACAGCCAGACTAACATCACGAAGGCGCCAAAGATGGCCCAGATTGGCATAAGCCGCTCTGGCTTTCACTATACGTGCATTGATCTCATCACTCACGCCACCACCAGCACTTATGCAGCTACCTAGATACACGAACTTCTCGACTACTTCTATCTGCTCACCATCCAGAGTGAGTACAGGATTAGAATCCTGCCAGTCTTGTAGAAGTACTTTGCACTTCGAAGGTGCAAAGCACATACCATACCTACGGACACTGATTGCCAACTGATTAAGTGCGGATTGCATGGCTTGGGCATTCTCGCACAGTAAGACAATATCATCCGCATACTCAAGGTCGAGAAGTCTTTCTCCAGGCAACAGATCCACACCACCATTACTTACATCCGTCAGAGCTGTTTCCAGAATGTCATCGATGGCAAAGTTGAAGAGGAATGGTGAGATTGGGCAACCCTGCCTAACTCCACTGCTTGAATGGAATAGTGGAGAAAGGTGGTTGTATGCCCTCACTCTACCTGAGGTGTTTGTATATAAGGCTTTTAGGATGTTAATAAACTTCTCAGGCACACCCCTCTTCAATAGACAATCCCAGAGAACAGTTCTGTCCAACGAATCGAAAGCAGCCTTGATATCAAGAAACACTACGATTGTTGGCCTTTGATAAGTATGGCGGTGTTCTAACACTTGGCGGAGGGTGAAGATATGATCAATACATCCTCGACCAGAACGAAACCCAGCCTGCTCCTCGCGAGTCAATCCTTCTCGGGTTCTGAACAACCTACGAAGTATGACGGAAGCCAATAGCTTGGACGCAATCGGAAGTAGACTTATCCCCCGATAGTTGTTACAGGAACAACGTGAACCCTTTTTAAAGATAGGGACAACTATCGACTCATTCCATGACGTTGGTACACTCTCTAGTTCCCACACCTTTGTAAACAACGTCGTCAGTCCTTTAGTCAGAAAGTCACCACCATCTTTAAAAAGAGCCGAAGGTAAGTCGTCTGGGCCTGGTGATTTGTAACGTTTCAAGAGTTGGAGTTCCTTGCGGACTTCCGCCTCATTTGGTGGATCAGTCGTCACCGGCCAAGGAGGGCAGGACAGTCTGACCGATGTTGCCGGAGCAGCAGGCCAGTTGAACTGCCCTTCAAAGAATTCTGCCCATCGTCCAAGACGTCGATGGATGTTAGTGATTGGCGTTCCGTCATCCTCGCAGATTGTTTCGCTCACACCAGACTTCTTGCTGCCGGTGGCTCGGATGAGTTGGAAGAGCTTCCGGTAATTACCAGATGCAGCTGCTGCTTCCAACTCACTGGCACGCTCCGACCACCAGGTTTCTCGGTCCTTACGCAAGCTTTGCCCGATTTCATTACGTAACATCCTTCGTCTGTGGTCAAACTCACGGTCACCCGGAGTAGACCGACGGGCTTCAATCAGTTGTAAGGAACCAGAAGAAACCCAGTGCTTGTAAGCGGGACGTTTCGCAATCCCACAGCTGACTTGACCCGCCATTTTCATGGCGTCATGCAATTGCAACCAATGCTCATCTATACTTTTCGGTGGAATAGTGGCTAGCCTAGAAGCTAGCTCGGCTCGGTACTTACTAGCAAACCTGATTTTCGTTTATGTGGTATGCGGTTCCGATTTTGATACAAAAGCTTTCTATATGGAAGCCCAAATGGCTACCTGAGTGAGAGGAAAGCTTTATCAGCTAAATCTAATCAAGAGATCAATGTACACTCGTATACATGTTTGTCCCAACCAATGGCGTATCTCGTGTTGTAAAAAAGTAAACCTAACCTTCTACAATAGCGTGTGCTTACCATCTGGCTGATGTGTGATTGGTCCATTGTATTAATTCGCCAGCGAATGTCTCGTCCTAAACAGACAACCTTGTATCAACTAGATATCAAACCGACCTAGATTAAAGACTAGCTATGGGTTAATCGGAAACCGTGTTTAGCGAATTTTCTCAGAATTAATCTGTTAAATAAATACAAGTACTGAAGAAATAATAAAATATTCTTTTGTGTTGTAATCGTTTGAATAAACTCGTCAAATTAAAGAAATGCAACATTTAACCAGTAATGAATTGAGCAAATTTTTGCAGGTTTCAGAAAATGTTACTTTCATGCGTTCGTGCTCATCCGAAATCAAGCCTCTGTTAATTGCCTCCAGTGATGCGGTAATTTACACGCCAGATAAAGAACATTTTGGAATTGTCCCTGTTGAAGCAATGTTGTTGTCTCGAGCAGTTATTGCATTGGACTCTGGTGGTCCTAGAGAAACTGTTCTGCATGGTTCTACAGGATTTCTATGTACAGTGCACCCAATAAAACAACTTCCGCAAACTATGGCTAACTATCTTAGCAAGTACGCTTCATATATTTTTTGTTGATGGAATGACCAAATAATTTTGTCATTTATTTATAAACGCGAAGTAGATGATAACCAATTATGACGAAGTAGACATTGCTATATTGAATGCGTAGAACTCCTCACGGACCGGATGTGGCGATATTCTGCTGTCAGCGTTTGTACTATGTATTCCTTAGATTACAAGTGTCTGTTAAGCATCGTCGGAAATGGATATGAAGGCTTCCAAATCGCCGTACTTGTGATATCTTCTGCTCGGTTTCCACGCAATTGCATTAAAAATAGAGAGGTGCATAAAAATGACTGAAACTGATTAGGGTGGACTCACTGCACTAATTATGCTGAAGCCTTATATAGACAATGAAACATAACAAGGTCAAGTGATGTGTGTGCTTCCATCTAAATTACTCATCGAAAATTAGGGAACTGTGTCTTATATGAGTTAGAAGTGAGACTACTTTTCTTCCGGTTTGTCCTAAGTACACCGAATGCAGCAACTATATTGAAGTATGAGTCAATATTAAGGTAAAAATGTAGAAAAATTCATGAGTGTATATTTGTGGTTGCAATTGATCTCCAGGCCTAACAGGTTTTTAACCACAAATCATGATTACCTTTTAGATCTCAATCATGAAGTCTGGGATACCCAAAAAACGAATACTCGATTAACTGATACTACGAATTGATTCGGTCGCTCTCTCCCTTTTTCAACCTATTCTTATCCTGGTCAATGTACATGTTCTGACCACCTCAGTAGATGTTCACGACTTATTTATTTAAATACATAAACATTGATACAAGGAGGCGCCAAATAAATCATTCGATTTATGTGACGGCTGGAATACTGCATAGTCTATGGTCAACCCGAGTTCCTCACTTAGTTATACAGGATATATATATATATATGTCCTACAGCTTAATACTTTAATATCTTGGTTAAAATTCCGGTCCTCCTACCTTATTTTGGTACTCGAGTAATATCATCAGCTCTCGGGAAGTTCAGATCTGAGTATCTAAGTCTGTGATTGATGTTCCACACATTATTTTGTGCTCCAACTGGCCTTGATTCATGTCTGCTGATTAACACTAGGTTATTTTTTCAATTAAACCCAGGTAGGCTATTGCATCGACTTGATTAGTCCCCGTTCTACCAGCAACTTGGATGGTTTACGGTTTTGACTACACTTCAAATTGTCAAGTTAAGCACCAATACAGGATATTCAATCACTTAAATTAACTATTGTACTTTCGTGTAGATCGTTTCAGCTCAATTAAAAAACAAATTTTATATGATTTTGAGGTTTGGAGGATGATAGTACAATTCAAGAACTATGACAAACTTCGAAACAACTGATAATCATTCGCAAATTAACTTTATTTATTCTAGCACTAAATAATACTTCTCTGTTTTATTCAAATTCGCTAGGCTCTAAAAAATAATTATGTTTATTTCAGATTTGTAAATGATCCAGAGCTTGCAGATCGTTTGGGGAAGGCAGGATGTGAACATGTTGGTGAGAAATTTTCATCTATAACTTTTAAAAGAGAATTGCAAACAATCGTGAATGATTTAATAGACAAAGACCAAAGATAGAAACGGTTGTTTACATGCAAAATTATTCGATTTGTTTTCTCTCAAATATTTAGTTGTTTTTTATTGCAAGGCTGAGTAAATACCTGCAGTGTTTCCATGTACTTAATTTTGGTGAAATGCTGTTTATCAAAACTTTTCCACTGGACGTTTTATTTGCATTGGCCAACATACATTTACACTTAGGTAATTTTCATCCAACTGCACAAATGAGAGATACAAGTAATTCTAGATTTCAAATCTTGTTCGTACTAATCACAATAGCATACACGTTTTGATATATCAAATAATATAGAATATGTAAAACGCACACCAGATTAGTCAATTGTATTTGATGAAAGAAAAGTAGAAAAATATGGACTGAAAGTTAGTTTTTTGAAGACCGATGGGAATGGCATAAGTTAAGGTCGTTCATGAGGTTCTTATAGTGGTCATAACTTAAAAGAATGGATTCGAGAAATGTTTGCCAGCTGAGATTTGTTTGGAATCGTTGGAGGGAATACAATTTCTTTAGGAAACCATTATTTCAGCTGATGATTCTTTCAGGTTGGGGAGTATATTTTCCTAAAGTGTGTCAGATAAAAGCAAATCGAACTTACCATATCATAGATAACACGCACGTAAAGAGAACAGCTTGGACATCGTGCTATATCATCACCACACAATAAATCTTCCTACAGAACGAATAAATTAGGACTCTGTGAAAAATAATCTAACCTTGGTAATTAAAAATCGATCACCACACGGACAAGGATAGGAATACGTTTCGGATTCTTCATCATACTCCATATCCTCGATTTCTATTTCATCATGGAATACAGACATCACTGATCAAATGTCCATCGATGATTCTCGAGACCGACTGTGTTATGAATGAGATTGCACGAATATGTCTAAGTAATTAGTTGAAAGTGTAGTCTGAAATATTTTAGATGAAGTTTTCAAGGTATCTAATAGTAGCTTAAATAAATTAACTTGTTCAGTAAAACAGAGTAGTAAACTCAAGCAATACTAATTAATGAACATAAGCGAAAGGGAGCAGTAGCAATAAGCAATATATGACAGGTTTACATACAGCTGCTAGTCACCAATAGTGACACAAAGCCCATATTTCTTAATTTTCGGCCACCATTTCTGCTGGGGGCAACCTTGATTACACTAATGTTAGGAATAGACAGTACCTATCGAAGCACTGTAGAAGAGTGGTTCCATAGTGTGAAGGATTACTAGGGAGGATGAAAAAGGAAGGAGTTGCACGAGTTGAGTTAGCTTTTTCTCACTATGTTAGTGGGAATAAGTTCGTAATATGCTACCGGACACACGTCAGAGGTGGCTAAAAATCCTGACATGTTATGTATGCATTGTGTATCAATCTTTCTGAGTAATGCTTTTCCAATATATCTGCTTTCAGTAAATAATAAGATCAAAACAAACGTACATGTCTAGGACGATATGAGAACTGATACGAGTCTAAACTTTAAACGTGCTTTTGCACTTCAGGATAGCTATGATGAGAAAAATAGCGTGACCTATAGGTGGGATATTGTTAAGAAAACAGATTTTAGTGAAATAAAATAAGGATTATTGTTAAACAATAGATTGAATAAAATTTGTCACTATACATCAACTTCCTTGATTATGAGAAAGCATTGACTATGGATAGAACATTATGGAACCTTCCTCGACACTGGTGTACCTTAGGGAATCGTCAACATAAATCGGAATTTATACGACGGACTACACTGAAAAGTCATGGGTGGAGGACAGCTGATAGACTTATTCAAAGTGAGGACTGGAGCAAATTAGGGAGAGACCCTGGAAGTGGATAGGATATACATTAGGGAAATCACCTAAGCGCTAGCATGAAATCCTTAAGCAATATGGAAACGAGGAAGACCAAAGAACACAGTACCGGGAATCGGAAGCAGACATGTAAAAGATGAATAGCCACAGGAAGCTACTGGATAGGATTGCCCAGGATAGAGTTCGATGGAGAATAATGGTAGACGGCTTAAGCTCCACAGAGGTTAACAGGCGTAAATAATATTTTTCCTGACCTCGCTGAACCAGCAACAACTAAAACCCAGATTTTGTCAGATAAGAAATTATATTTTCATTGCCTTTGAAATGAAACTGACAAACGTAAAATAGGTCCAAAAGACTAGATTATTTGACTGTATATTTCAACTCGCTCCTAGGGCAGTAAGTCAGATTACTCCCCTAAATATCTTCGTTTTCCGCTTTATAATTACTAGACGAATTTGGATTCATCTCACCCTCAGACGAGAGAAAAATTTTCCTCTACAAATACGATAGAAGCTTGTTCATTATGTTAATACATTGATATATCTGAAACTATTGCAACTTGTAATTATCCTATTTTTCGCCTCGAAACCTACACCGAATAACAAACTGCATTAAATTAAATCCATGTAAGAAAACTCCACTTGATTTCGTGTGTATCTCTTCTATAATTTTTCTAACTGTAAATACATTTTTAACGTCCACATCTTATTAACAGTTATGGAGTTTTTATCCAGTGTGCACATTGTCACAACCAAGCAACCTAGATACGGCTTGTGGAAATTCGGGTGCGAAAGTCTTTTTGAGTTATGAATCCATAAGAGGGATATAGGTTGAACAAAAGCGCTTAATGTCGGGAAAAATAAAGGTAACAGGGGTGATACAAGTGATAAAAATATCGCATGTGTCGTCTTCTACGTTATATTTTACACCGTTTTGTATAAACGTCCCCTTAATGGCTGTTTTACTCGAGAAGAATCTCTTCTATCGTCAGCTTAAGCGCCTAAGCTAACTTAGCTATTACAATTAAAATACATAACGATCGATGCTCTAGCATCTGTCAGCTATTCATAATGTACGACATGACGTTCTTTTCAATAAGCTCAGAGACATTTAAAACAGAAAGACATCCGCATTATTTCCCCCAGACAGGCAGACATCAAGGTGCGTTCTCCCATTATTTTCTAACGCAATTTCCCCTTTATTGGTTGCCTGGGTCTGGTGCAAAACTTCATCTCAACAGACAATATATGTGAATAGAGAGTCCAGCTTTATCCTGTGAAGTGGGTTGATTAAAAAATCCTGAATCTGTGCCACGAATATTAGCGGAAGATAGGCTATTTGGCTGAACTCAATAAGTGAAATGAAACTCACGTGACGTAGCAGTACAATCTAGCGCCAACAATTAAATAGGTCAACTGTTCCAGAATGGTTCAAATGGTTGTGGACGGAATAGAAGAAGCTTTCGCTTAACAGGCTTCCGTGTCTAGTAGCAGGGGATCACCAATACCTCCAGGCAAGAACCTAGGTATATTAACGATAAAAGAGAAAAGAATAAATTGGTAAATCATAGTAAGATACTATCCTTAGTCCTTAAGAATAGATCGAGTCGCCTCTTAAAGGACTCCTGGGAAGTTGCTTGGACTAGCTCAGCTGGCAGCAATTCCAGCATTTGACAACTCTTAAGGAGTAGAAGTTGTGTCTGCAGTCCGTTCTACTATGTTGTATCTCTAATTTCTGGGTGTCACCCCTTAGGTTAGTGTTGGGAGTAAGCTTAAGTAGGTGTTTAAGAGGATGTCTAGAGGTGTTAAGGATGCTGTAAGCTATTATAAGGTCACCTCTAAGACGCCTATACTCTAATGGGTAAAGGTCGAGTGATTGGAGGCGCTCATCGTAAGGTTTAAATTTGAGTCCACGAACTGATTTCGTGGCTCGCCGTTGGATACGCTCCAGAGTGTCCTTATCCTTTTGGAGTGTAAGAGGGAATACTATGTTTCCGTACTCTAAATGGGGACGAATGAAACTGTTGAAGATTATGTGGAAAGTTCTCCCGTCAAACTGAACAAAAACGCGCTCCAATGTTGCTAGTGCAAGGTTTGCTCGAAAGGCATTTCTGTCACAGTTGGCGTAAGACTTTAAGTCATAGGGCACCAGAACTCCTAAATATTTTCGACTCGGGATGCTACTAGAGAGGAGTTTCCTAACTTGTAACTGTAGTCTGCGACATGTCTCAGATGGACTACTTTACACTTTGAAGTGTTAAAGGTAAGTCCGTTATCATCTGCCCAACTTTGAAGTCGAGTCAGATCCTCCTGAAGTGCCCGTATATCGTCTTGGTTGCGTATCTCTCTCCAAAGTTTCGCGTCATCTGCAAAGAGCAATATGTCTGACGCTACCTGCTTAGGAAGATCATTTATATAAATCAGGAAGAGGAGAGATCCTAGTACTGAGCCCTGAGGGACCCCACTAGGACATTCCATAGCGTGTGAGAAATTGAAGTTAAGCCTGACCTTAAAATGTCGATTTGTCAGATATGAACTGAGCCAATCAATTGGAGGTGGTCTGATACTCAATTGTTTGAGCTTGTTAATAAGACATATGTGGTTGACCCTATTAAAAGCTTTAGAGAAATCAAGGTAAATGATGCCCACCTTCCCCTTGTGATCAACGAGGCTTGTCCATCTGTCCAACGGGGTCAGCAGGTTCGTAATACAGGAGTAACCCTTCCTGAAACCATGCTGTTGGGGTGAGAATAAATTTAAGGACAGCAGATAGTCGTGTATACCATCGTATACCAGGGGCTCCATGATCATTAAAGGTATGGAGAGAAGAGCCCCCGATCGGTAACTTGAAGGTTGGCTGCGTCGACCTCCTTTGAAGATCGGTGTGATATGAGCCAGCTTCCAAATATCCGGTAGTTTGCATCGACTTAGCGAGTGTGAGAACACCACACTAAGCGGTAATGCCAGGATTGAAGCTGCTTCCCTCAGTATAGCAGAGTGGACCATGTCTGGACCAGGAGAAGTGTCTGTTCTTAGGTGTTGTAGTTTACGGAACACCAAGTCAGCGCTCAGTTTCACTAAGGAAAGTCCTGTGCAGTTGCAGATAGAGCCGTCATCAGTATATTTGATGTGGGTCGGTTGAAATGTCCGGGAGTGTTGCTCAGCCAGGAGGTTAGCGGCGTCACCGTCGTTATCGGTCGGGCCGTTAGGACCTAGCAGTTGAGAAACTCCAGTTTTGGGTTGACGAAGAGGGGCTGCGTAACGGAATAAGCCTTCCGGATTGGAAATAAATTTATCTATAAGCTTTAACTGGTACTGGAGCCTGTCTTCTCTTATAGCCTTCGCGAATATGTTCCTTATATGTTTGTATTGCCTGTACACACCATTGTTGTTGGTTCGTTTGTATTCTGCCCAACAGTGCCTTTTACGGCTTAAAAACCAAGGAGTGCGGTTTTTGATGGTTGTAGGTTGCTTGTGACTTTTGGGGACCGTTTGAGGGACTGACTGCATGTGCAGTAAAAAGTTCCAGTGAGCATCCACATCAAGTTGAGGGTGAACATCCCAATCCACCTGTTGTAGATAGTCCTGTAGAGCTGACGCATTCAACCGTTTGAAATTTCAGCACCTGTTGTTGTTGTTGTGGGGATATCTTAGCTCAGTTTTGCTGACGAAACTGAAGGCTATAACGGCGTGATCGCTTTTCCCCAGGGGAGCCAGAGTTGAGAGGTTGTCAACTAGAAATTCTTCATTTGTGAAAACACAATCTAAGCGCGACGGTGTCTGACAGTTCCTCCAACGAGTGGTCGACTTCACATTTTCGTGTAGTTACAAATCCTCAATGAGGTTGAAGAACCGAGCTTCAATTGAATTTTCACCTCCAGTATACGTATGTTCCGCGAAGTTGACTCTAGGGAGATTGAAGTCAACTAGGATCAGGATATGAGTGAATCCGAGACGCGTAGAGCGGGATGGTTCTTCCAGCATGCGACTGTCATACTCGATGACGGCAGTGGGCTTCCTATATATGACACCTCGAAGTAGTGGAAAATCTCATGGAGCACCATATAGATTCCTCAAGAATGTCGAACTCATGGTTGTGAACTTGGTGTACCTCCGAGCCAGATCGTATGTATACGGCTATTCCACCCCCAATTCCTGTTTTTCTGTCATTGCAAAAGAGAGACATTCCAGGTATTGCTAGCTCCTGGTCCGAATACTGAGAAGATATCCAAGTTTCAGATATTCCTATCAGATGAACCTTATTAGCGTTGCTGAGTTCACTTAGTTCATCCATTTTATTTGGTAGACTCGCGGCGTTCATGTATGAGCAGTTAATGCTTTCAATTTGAAACGCGTGAGCTTCTTCCTGTTTGTCTGTGAGAGCGTTACGTGAGTGGACAGGTAACCCACCTATATAAGTTTTGTCGAATTGGTAGGCCCTGTCCTTTACACGTTTTTTTATCTTCAAGATAGTCCATATGTGGAACGGTCAGCTCCAGCTTGTCTTTGTGCTTGATCCTGGCGTCGTATGGCCTGTCCGGGTGCATGTTGATCCCAGTTGGCAACCGACGTCTGTTGGAACGAAATGCTTCCTGAGCTGCAGCTGCCATATGGGAGGATGGAAAAGTTATCCTCATTAGTCGGGGTCTAGGATCCCCGTCCTTCTTGGCTGGTCTCATCACATGTTGAGTCGGTATGTTCTTAAGCCTCAAGGACTGTTTGATGAATTTCCATTCCCGAATGTCAGAGTTTGCTTGAGTAGGGTCGACGTTTTCCGGTACACCTTGCACGATGATATTTCTTCTGCGAAAAACTCTCGAGAATCTTTTGGGACGTTCCAGATAAGATCGCGCTCAGAATACGGTATGTCGGGCAGTATTCTGACGTTCCCATCGGATTTCAGTAGATGACTAGCTAGCAGGACATTCTCTACGTCGGTAGAATTCTTAAGTGTTTTGATGTTTAGATTCCTTTCCCCGAGTGAGCCGTGTGACCGTCAAAGGCTCTATTCTAGGAAGTTCAAGCTTTTTGTTCAGTTCACCCCAGAGCATCCTATCGTTTTTGTCCTGCAAACTGAGAGGAAGGTCAGAATTTTCTATGAGGTTCATGATTATGAGAGAGTCATCACGGACCGTTGTTGTTTTCCAAGGTTTTCCGGTGCGTTCAGGTTCAGCACGTTGTTGTTTGGAGGTCAAAGCAGGTTTTTGAGTCGTAGGCTTTTTGATGACCGGGCGGACGTTTTTGGGGGTAGACTGAGCGATCAAAGCACCAGTTGGTGTCCGTACAACACTTGGGATGTCAACCTTAGACGGTGACACCTGGTCCTTATTAGCTCTGTTGGCGTGGGTGTAGTCACCTGCAGAGTATTTGGGAGCCACTGTTGCGTTTAAGGACCCTGAACTGAAAGATCCAAGTTTAGTGAGGGAGTCAATTATTGTCGACGTAATGATGGTGCTGGGTTTCAACATGTCATCATTAGTGCTAATGCGTGTTCGATCGATGGTTGACTTATCAACATCCGTATTCTTGTTTTCGTTGCGCGCCCTTGTTTGTCTACTTATATTATGGCTATCTGTTTCCAAGTTTACTGACAATTTGTTCCTCTGACCTGTCAGTAGAACAATGATGTTGCTCAGCAGTACTACAGCGTCCGTGTTGCAAACCTGATTTTCGTTTATGTGGTATGCGGTTCCGATTTTGATACAAAAGCTTTCTATATGGAAGCCCAAATGGCTACCTGAGTGAGAGGAAAGCTTTATCAGCTAAATCTAATCAAGAGATCAATGTACACTCGTATACATGTTTGTCCCAACCAATGGCGTATCTCGTGTTGTAAAAAAGTAAACCTAACCTTCTACAATAGCGTGTGCTTACCATCTGGCTGATGTGTGATTGGTCCATTGTATTAATTCGCCAGCGAATGTCTCGTCCTAAACAGACAACCTTGTATCAACTAGATATCAAACCGACCTAGATTAAAGACTAGCTATGGGTTAATCGGAAACCGTGTTTAGCGAATTTTCTCAGAATTAATCTGTTAAATAAATACAAGTACTGAAGAAATAATAAAATATTCTTTTGTGTTGTAATCGTTTGAATAAACTCGTCAAATTAAAGAAATGCAACATTTAACCAGTAATGAATTGAGCAAATTTTTGCAGGTTTCAGAAAATGTTACTTTCATGCGTTCGTGCTCATCCGAAATCAAGCCTCTGTTAATTGCCTCCAGTGATGCGGTAATTTACACGCCAGATAAAGAACATTTTGGAATTGTCCCTGTTGAAGCAATGTTGTTGTCTCGAGCAGTTATTGCATTGGACTCTGGTGGTCCTAGAGAAACTGTTCTGCATGGTTCTACAGGATTTCTATGTACAGTGCACCCAATAAAACAACTTCCGCAAACTATGGCTAACTATCTTAGCAAGTACGCTTCATATATTTTTTGTTGATGGAATGACCAAATAATTTTGTCATTTATTTATAAACGCGAAGTAGATGATAACCAATTATGACGAAGTAGACATTGCTATATTGAATGCGTAGAACTCCTCACGGACCGGATGTGGCGATATTCTGCTGTCAGCGTTTGTACTATGTATTCCTTAGATTACAAGTGTCTGTTAAGCATCGTCGGAAATGGATATGAAGGCTTCCAAATCGCCGTACTTGTGATATCTTCTGCTCGGTTTCCACGCAATTGCATTAAAAATAGAGAGGTGCATAAAAATGACTGAAACTGATTAGGGTGGACTCACTGCACTAATTATGCTGAAGCCTTATATAGACAATGAAACATAACAAGGTCAAGTGATGTGTGTGCTTCCATCTAAATTACTCATCGAAAATTAGGGAACTGTGTCTTATATGAGTTAGAAGTGAGACTACTTTTCTTCCGGTTTGTCCTAAGTACACCGAATGCAGCAACTATATTGAAGTATGAGTCAATATTAAGGTAAAAATGTAGAAAAATTCATGAGTGTATATTTGTGGTTGCAATTGATCTCCAGGCCTAACAGGTTTTTAACCACAAATCATGATTACCTTTTAGATCTCAATCATGAAGTCTGGGATACCCAAAAAACGAATACTCGATTAACTGATACTACGAATTGATTCGGTCGCTCTCTCCCTTTTTCAACCTATTCTTATCCTGGTCAATGTACATGTTCTGACCACCTCAGTAGATGTTCACGACTTATTTATTTAAATACATAAACATTGATACAAGGAGGCGCCAAATAAATCATTCGATTTATGTGACGGCTGGAATACTGCATAGTCTATGGTCAACCCGAGTTCCTCACTTAGTTATACAGGATATATATATATATATATGTCCTACAGCTTAATACTTTAATATCTTGGTTAAAATTCCGGTCCTCCTACCTTATTTTGGTACTCGAGTAATATCATCAGCTCTCGGGAAGTTCAGATCTGAGTATCTAAGTCTGTGATTGATGTTCCACACATTATTTTGTGCTCCAACTGGCCTTGATTCATGTCTGCTGATTAACACTAGGTTATTTTTTCAATTAAACCCAGGTAGGCTATTGCATCGACTTGATTAGTCCCCGTTCTACCAGCAACTTGGATGGTTTACGGTTTTGACTACACTTCAAATTGTCAAGTTAAGCACCAATACAGGATATTCAATCACTTAAATTAACTATTGTACTTTCGTGTAGATCGTTTCAGCTCAATTAAAAAACAAATTTTATATGATTTTGAGGTTTGGAGGATGATAGTACAATTCAAGAACTATGACAAACTTCGAAACAACTGATAATCATTCGCAAATTAACTTTATTTATTCTAGCACTAAATAATACTTCTCTGTTTTATTCAAATTCGCTAGGCTCTAAAAAATAATTATGTTTATTTCAGATTTGTAAATGATCCAGAGCTTGCAGATCGTTTGGGGAAGGCAGGATGTGAACATGTTGGTGAGAAATTTTCATCTATAACTTTTAAAAGAGAATTGCAAACAATCGTGAATGATTTAATAGACAAAGACCAAAGATAGAAACGGTTGTTTACATGCAAAATTATTCGATTTGTTTTCTCTCAAATATTTAGTTGTTTTTTATTGCAAGGCTGAGTAAATACCTGCAGTGTTTCCATGTACTTAATTTTGGTGAAATGCTGTTTATCAAAACTTTTCCACTGGACGTTTTATTTGCATTGGCCAACATACATTTACACTTAGGTAATTTTCATCCAACTGCACAAATGAGAGATACAAGTAATTCTAGATTTCAAATCTTGTTCGTACTAATCACAATAGCATACACGTTTTGATATATCAAATAATATAGAATATGTAAAACGCACACCAGATTAGTCAATTGTATTTGATGAAAGAAAAGTAGAAAAATATGGACTGAAAGTTAGTTTTTTGAAGACCGATGGGAATGGCATAAGTTAAGGTCGTTCATGAGGTTCTTATAGTGGTCATAACTTAAAAGAATGGATTCGAGAAATGTTTGCCAGCTGAGATTTGTTTGGAATCGTTGGAGGGAATACAATTTCTTTAGGAAACCATTATTTCAGCTGATGATTCTTTCAGGTTGGGAAGTATATTTTCCTAAAGTGTGTCAGATAAAAGCAAATCGAACTTACCATATCATAGATAACACGCACGTAAAGAGAACAGCTTGGACATCGTGCTATATCATCACCACACAATAAATCTTCCTACAGAACGAATAAATTAGGACTCTATGAAAAATAATCTAACCTTGGTAATTAAAAATCGATCACCACACGGACAAGGATAGGAATACGTTTCGGATTCTTCATCATACTCCATATCCTCGATTTCTATTTCATCATGGAATACAGACATCACTGATCAAATGTCCATCGATGATTCTCGAGACCGACTGTGTTATGAATGAGATTGCACGAATATGTCTAAGTAATTAGTTGAAAGTGTAGTCCGAAATATTTTAGATGAAGTTTTCAAGGTATCTAATAGTAGCTTAAATAAATTAACTTGTTCAGTAAAACAGAGTAGTAAACTCAAGCAATACTAATTAATGAACATAAGCGAAAGGGAGCAGTAGCAATAAGCAATATATGACAGGTTTACATACAGCTGCTAGTCACCAATAGTGACACAAAGCCCATATTTCTTAATTTTCGGCCACCATTTCTGCTGGGGGCAACCTTGATTACACTAATGTTAGGAATAGACAGTACCTATCGAAGCACTGTAGAAGAGTGGTTCCATAGTGTGAAGGATTACTAGGGAGGATGAAAAAGGAAGGAGTTGCACGAGTTGAGTTAGCTTTTTCTCACTATGTTAGTGGGAATAAGTTCGTAATATGCTACCGGACACACGTCAGAGGTGGCTAAAAATCCTGACATGTTATGTATGCATTGTGTATCAATCTTTCTGAGTAATGCTTTTCCAATATATCTGCTTTCAGTAAATAATAAGATCAAAACAAACGTACATGTCTAGGACGATATGAGAACTGATACGAGTCTAAACTTTAAACGTGCTTTTGCACTTCAGGATAGCTATGATGAGAAAAATAGCGTGACCTATAGGTGGGATATTGTTAAGAAAACAGATTTTAGTGAAATAAAATAAGGATTATTGTTAAACAATAGATTGAATAAAATTTGTCACTATACATCAACTTCCTTGATTATGAGAAAGCATTGACTATGGATAGAACATTATGGAACCTTCCTCGACACTGGTGTACCTTAGGGAATCGTCAACATAAATCGGAATTTATACGACGGACTACACTGAAAAGTCATGGGTGGAGGACAGCTGATAGACTTATTCAAAGTGAGGACTGGAGCAAATTAGGGAGAGACCCTGGAAGTGGATAGGATATACATTAGGGAAATCACCTAAGCGCTAGCATGAAATCCTTAAGCAATATGGAAACGAGGAAGACCAAAGAACACAGTACCGGGAATCGGAAGCAGACATGTAAAAGATGAATAGCCACAGGAAGCTACTGGATAGGATTGCCCAGGATAGAGTTCGATGGAGAATAATGGTAGACGGCTTAAGCTCCACAGAGGTTAACAGGCGTAAATAATATTTTTCCTGACCTCGCTGAACCAGCAACAACTAAAACCCAGATTTTGTCAGATAAGAAATTATATTTTCATTGCCTTTGAAATGAAACTGACAAACGTAAAATAGGTCCAAAAGACTAGATTATTTGACTGTATATTTCAACTCGCTCCTAGGGCAGTAAGTCAGATTACTCCCCTAAATATCTTCGTTTTCCGCTTTATAATTACTAGACGAATTTGGATTCATCTCACCCTCAGACGAGAGAAAAATTTTCCTCTACAAATACGATAGAAGCTTGTTCATTATGTTAATACATTGATATATCTGAAACTATTGCAACTTGTAATTATCCTATTTTTCGCCTCGAAACCTACACCGAATAACAAACTGCATTAAATTAAATCCATGTAAGAAAACTCCACTTGATTTCGTGTGTATCTCTTCTATAATTTTTCTAACTGTAAATACATTTTTAACGTCCACATCTTATTAACAGTTATGGAGTTTTTATCCAGTGTGCACATTGTCACAACCAAGCAACCTAGATACGGCTTGTGGAAATTCGGGTGCGAAAGTCTTTTTGAGTTATGAATCCATAAGAGGGATATAGGTTGAACAAAAGCGCTTAATGTCGGGAAAAATAAAGGTAACAGGGGTGATACAAGTGATAAAAATATCGCATGTGTCGTCTTCTACGTTATATTTTACACCGTTTTGTATAAACGCCCCCTTAATGGCTGTTTTACTCGAGAAGAATCTCTTCTATCGTCAGCTTAAGCGCCTAAGCTAACTTAGCTATTACAATTAAAATACATAACGATCGATGCTCTAGCATCTGTCAGCTATTCATAATGTACGACATGACGTTCTTTTCAATAAGCTCAGAGACATTTAAAACAGAAAGACATCCGCATTATTTCCCCCAGACAGGCAGACATCAAGGTGCGTTCTCCCATTATTTTCTAACGCAATTTCCCCTTTATTGGTTGCCTGGATCTGGTGCAAAACTTCATCTCAACTGACAATATATGTGAATAGAGAGTCCAGCTTTATCCTGTGAAGTGGGTTGATTAAAAAATCCTGAATCTGTGCCACGAATATTAGCGGAAGATAGGCTATTTGGCTGAACTCAATAAGTGAAATGAAACTCACGTGACGTAGCAGTACAATCTAGCGCCAACAATTAAATAGGTCAACTGTTCCAGAATGGTTCAAATGGTTGTGGACGGAATAGAAGAAGCTTTCGCTTAACAGGCTTCCGTGTCTAGTAGCAGGGGATCACCAATACCTCCAGGCAAGAACCTAGGTATATTAACGATAAAAGAGAAAAGAATAAATTGGTAAATCATAGTAAGATACTATCCTTAGTCCTTAAGAATAGATCAAGTCGCCTCTTAAAGGACTCCTGGGAAGTTGCTTGGACTAGCTCAGCTGGCAGCAATTCCAGCATTTGACAACTCTTAAGGAGTAGAAGTTGTGCCTGCAGTTTGTTCTACTATGTTGTATCTCTAATTTCTGCGTGTTGCCCCTTAGGTTAGTGTTGGGACTAAGCTTAAGTAGGTGTTTAAGAGGATGTCTAGAGGTGTTAAGGATGCTGTAAGCTATTATAAGGTCACCTCTAAGACGCCTATACTCTAATGGGTAAAGGTCGAGTGATTGGAGGCGCTCATCGTAAGGTTTAAATTTGAGTCCCCGAACTGATTTCGTGGCTCGCCGTTGGATACGCTCCAGAGTGTCCTTATCCTTTTGGAGTGTAAGAGGGAATACTATGTTTCCGTACTCTAAATGGGGGCGAATAAAACTGTTGAAGATTATGTGGAAAGTTCTCCCGTCAAACTGACCAAAAATGCGCTTCAATGTTACCAGTGCAAGGTTTGCTCGAAAGGCATTTCTGTCACAGTTGGCGTAAGACTTTAAGTCGTAGGGCACCAGAACTCCTAAATATTTTCGACTCGGGATGCTACTAGAGAGGAGTTTCCTAACTTATAACTGTAGTCTGCGACATGTCTCAGATGGACTATTTTACACTTTGAAGTGTTAAAGGTAAGTCCGTTATCATCTGCCCAACTTTGAAGTCGAGTCAGATCCTCCCGAAGTGCCTGTATGTCCTCTTGGTTGCGTATCTCTCTCCAAAGTTTCACGTCATCTGCAAAGAGCAATATGTCTGACGTTACCTGCTTAGGAAGATCATTTATATAAATCAGGAAGAGGAGAGATCCTAGTACTGAGCCCTGGGGGACCCCACTAGGACATTCCATAGCGTGTGAGAAATTGAAGTTAAGCCTGACCTTAAAATGTCGATTTGTGAGATATGAACTGAGCCAATCAATTGGAGGTGGTCTGATACTCAATTGTTTGAGCTTGTTAATAAGACATATGTGGTTGACCCTATCAAAAGCTTTAGAGAAATCAAGGTAAATGATGTCCACCTTCCCCTTGTGATCAACGAGGCTTGTCCATCTGTCCAACGGGGTCAGCAGGTTCGTAATACAGGAGTAACCCTTCCTGAAACCATGCTGTTGGGGTGAGAATAAATTTAAGGAGAGCAGATAGTCGTGTATACCATCGTATACCAGGGGCTCCATGATCATTAAAGGTATGGAGAGAAGAGCCACCGGTCGGTAACTTGAAGGTTGGCTGCGTCGACCTCCTTTGAAGATCGGTGTGATATGAGCCAGCTTCCAAATATCCGGTAGTTCGCATCGACTTAGCGAGTGTGAGAACACCACACTAAGCGGTAATGCCAGGATTGAAGCTGCTTCCCTCAGTATAGCAGAGTGGACCATGTCTGGACCAGGAGAAGTGTCTGTTCTTAGGTGTTGTAGTTTACGGAACACCAAGTCAGCGCTCAGTTTCACCAAGGAAAGTCCTGTGCAGTTGCAGATAGAGCCGTCATCAGTATAGTTGATGTGGGTCGGTTGAAATGTCCGAGAGTGTTGCTCAGCCAGGAGGTTAGCGGCGTCACCGTCGTTATCGGTCGGGCCGTTAGGACCTAGCAGTTGAGAAACTCCAGTTTTGGGTTGACGAAGAGGGGCTGCGTAACGGAATAAGCCTTCCGGATTGGAAATAAATTTATCCATAAGCTTTAACTGGTACTGAAGCCTGTCTTCTCTTATAGCCTTCGCGAATATGTTCCTTATATGTTTGTATTGCCTGTACACACCATTGTTGTTGGTTCGTTTGTATTCTGCGCAACAGTGCCTTTTACGGCTTAAAAACCAAGGAGTGCGGTTTTTGATGGTTGTAGGTTGCTTGTGACTTTTGGGGACCGTTTGAGGGACTGACTGCATGTACAGTAAAAAGTTCCAGTGAGCATCCACATCAAGTTGAGGGTGAACATCCCAATCCACCTGTTGTAGATAGTCCTGTAGAGCTGACGCATTCAACCGTTTGAAATTTCAGCACCTGTTGTTGTTGTTGGGATATCTTAGCTCAGTTTTGCTGACGAAACTGAAGGCTATAACGGCGTGATCGCTTTTCCCCAGGGGAGCCAGAGTTGAGAGGTTGTCAACTAGAAATTCTTCATTTGTGAAAACACAATCTAAGCGCGACGGTGTCTGACTGTTCCTCCAACGAGTGGTCGACTTCACATTTTCGTGTAGTCACAAATCCTCAATGAGGTTGAAGAACCGAGCTTCAATTGAATTTTCACCTCCACTATACGTATGTTCCGCGAAGTTGACTCTAGGGAGATTGAAGTCAACTAGGATCAGGATATGAGTGAATCCGAGACGCGTAGAGCGGGATAGTCCCTCCAGCATGCGACTGTCATACTCGATGTCGGCAGTGGGCTTCCTATATATGACACCTCGAAGTAGTGGAAAATCTCATGGAGCACCATATAGATTCCTCAAGAATGTCGAACTCATGGTTGTGAACTTGGTGTACCTCCGAGCCAGATCGTAAGTATACGGCTATTCCACCCCCAATTCCTGTTTTTCTGTCATTGCAAAAGAGAGACATCCCAGGTATTGCTAGCTCCTGGTCCGAATACTGAGAAGATATCCAAGTTTCAGATATTCCTATCAGATGAACCTTATTAGCGTTGCTGAGTTCACTTAAATCATCCATTTTATTTGTTAGACTCGCGGCGTTCATGTATAAGCAGTTAATGCTTTCAAGTTGAAACGCGTGAGCTTCTTCCTGTTTGTCTGTGAGAGCCTTACGTGAGTGGACAGGTAACCCACCTATATAAGTTTTGTCGAATTGGTAGGCCCTGTCCTTTACACGTTTTTTTATCTTCAAGATAGTCCATATGTGGAACGGTCAGCTCCAGCTTGTCTTTGTGCTTGATCCTGGCGTCGTATGGCCTGTCCGGGTGCATGTTGATCCCAGTTGGCAACCGACGTCTGTTGGAACGAAATGCTTCCTGAGCTGCAGCCGCCATATGGGAGGATGGAAAAGTTATCCTCATTAGTCGGGGTCTAGGATCCCCGCCCTTCTTGGCTGGTCTCATCACATGTTGAGTCGGTATGTTCTTAAGCCTCAAGGACTGTTTGATGAATTTCCATTCCCGAATGTCAGAGTTTGCTTGAGTAGGGTCCACGTTTTCCGGTACACCTTGCACGATGATATTTCTTCTGCGAAAAACTCTCGAGAATCTTTTGGGACGTTCCAGACAAGATCGCGCTCAGAATACGGTATGTCGGGCAGTATTCTGAAGTTCCCATCGGATTTCAGTAGATGACTAGCTAGCAGGACATTCTCTACGTCGGTAGAATTCTTAAGTGTTTTGATGTTTAGATTCCTTTCCCCGAGTGAGCCGTGTGACCGTCAAAGGCTCTATTCTAGGAAGTTCAAGCTTTTTGTTCAGTTCACCCCAGAGCATCCTATCGTTTTTGTCCTGCAAACTGAGAGGAAGGTCAGAATTGTCTATGAGGTTCATGATTATGAGAGAGTCGTCACGGACCGTAGTTGTTTTCCAAGGTTTTCCGGTGCGTTCAGGTTCAGCACGTTGTTGTTTGGAGGTCAAAGCAGGTTTTTGAGTCGTAGGCTTTTTGATGACCGGGCGGACGTTTTTGGAGGTAGACTGAGCGATCAAAGCACCAGTTGGTGTCCGTACAACACTTGGGATGTCAACCTTAGACGGTGACACCTGGTCCTTATTAGCTCTGTTGGCGTGCGTGTAGTCACCTGCAGAGTATTTAGGAGCCACTGTTGCGTTTAAGGACCCTGAACTGAAAGATCCAAGTTTAGTGAGGCAGTTAATTACCGTCGACGTAATGATTGTGCTGAGTTTCAACACTTCATCATTAGTGCTAATGTGTGTTCCATCGATGGTTGACTTATCAACATTCCTATTCTTATTTTCGTTGCGCGCCCTTGTTTGTCTACTTATATTATGGCTATCTGTTTCCAAGTTTACTGACAATTTGTTCCTCAGACCTGTCAGCAGAACAATGATGTTGCTCAGCAGTACTACAGCGTCCGTGTTGCACGTAACACACACCCAATTAAGGTCCAATTAGCTGAGTCTCTTGTAAGCAGTTGCCGTAAGATCTGTGCACTTTTCGTGGAACCAACCTTTGCAGTTGTCGCACTGCATGCCAGATGTAACAGCAAAACGGCATCCAGGTCGTTTGCATGAATTTTTCATGGCTGTATTGACGTGAACCGTGTTAGAGATAGTATCAAAGCTTAAGACCGTTAAAAATACACTAAAAACCACACTAAAAACGGGAAAATGTATAAAAACGGATGAGATAAAATGAACTAGTCTTTACGTGAAAAACTGGAAAAAAATCGAATAGTAAGCTGAGGCAAGACCACAGTTAACATTAAATTAGGCGAAACTCAAAAAAAGTAATCTACAAAACTTATAGCTCAGAATAGATTGTTTAGATCAGAAATGGTACTTTTGTTGCGTAAGAACACAGCAAAAGTTTGAGAAATGCAAACCACGTTAGGACTAAACTTCCCGTTCGAAAAGCGCGCCCAATATCTTCGTATATGAAATGGTAGCTATCACTTACTAGGCTTCTGTATATGAAAGTCATGGATCAACAATGCCTCCAGGAAGAAACTTAGGTATAGTCAATAGAAAACGAAAAAGTATCGATAAATTTGTGGTGAAGCACTCTTCTCAGTCCTCAATAAAAGGTCGCTTTCTTTTTGAAGACACATGGAAAGTCGCTTGGACTACCTAATTCAGCACAGAATTCCGGCATTTGACTACTCGTAAAGAAAAAAGGTGTGCTTCCGGTCTGTTCTGCTATATTTTGTCGCTAACTTCTGTCCATATCCCCTAAGGTTTGTGCTGGAACTGAGGACGTTCAGGAGTTTTTGAGATGCTGTAAGTCATTAGAAGGTTACTTCTG